TGAGACTGACCCGCGGCGCGAAAGCGAGAGGGCCCCCAGTACTGTACGTCACTGGCAGCGCGGCGTAGAGCAACGCCGCTCCATCCACGGAGCCCCGATGACAATTAAGGTTTAGTGACAAATGCAGAAGACCGCACGCACGGCGATAGCCGCCGTGTACGGCACCGAACGAGTTCACTCGTTTTCCAGTCGCTTGCTTTTGGGTATACAAGCGACGAGTACGGCATAGCGCACGCACGGCGGCGGCCGTCGAACACGGCACCGTACGAGTTCACGGGTTTTCCAGTCGCTAGCTTTTCGGTATACGCACTAACTCTTGCTACATATGCTGGATAACTACGCGTATACAGAATTAAAACAAAATCTTTAGAAGGCTAGCGCAACAGAGGTAGGTGCCGCCCGGCCTGCGTATTCGTTGAACGAGAACGATCCTGACGTCACGTTCACATAGCGGCTGATTTCCAGTGTTGCCGGGGCCTCGAGCGGCTAGTTTTGGTTTTGTTGGCCGCGCCCCAAACAAAACTTTGAGGCGTCGATATCTTTAAAAACAGTCATAATCCCAAAATCGAAAGTATGGACCGGAGTTGCCCTTTAAGGCTGCGGTCCCACGGCAGCCATCTTGAACAAAGCGTTAGTTCAATCAATAGATGGCGACACGCACCCGTGGGGTGGCTGAAACATTGGTTCACGGTGGGATGGCTCGAGCACCATCACGTTCATCTCGTGTCCATGCTCGCGCCGCTGCCAGCTGTGCTCAGCTGGTTCAAGTAGCGTGGCCTAGCAAACTCCTGTATGCGAGAATGTCAGGCTGGGTATAAATGCGGTTCGGCGGTTGTCACGGGTTTTCGCGATAAATCTTACCAAGAAGGAATCACTTGTTGATTGACGTGTCAATATTATATCATTAAAAATTTCTTCTGCAGGAATGCACGCTCAGTAGACTCGATCTTCCAAAATACAAGCGGAAGCGGACGTCAAGTAAACTGCTTCGCGATTTACGGTACTTACCTCACCATTATAATGACGACTGAAAAGTGACGTCACAAAATGTAGTGTTTTACGGGATCCGGAAGATGTTGTAAAGGTTGTTACATTATAGGGTTCCCAGAAAACAAACGCCGTTCCAATATTTTCGGAAGTACTGACACACATAACGTAAATACAGCTTAGGAGGAATATGATGAAAACCATCAGAATAAATAGGAAGACGTTTACTTGCAATGAAGAGGCTATGAACGAACGGCGTTTAGCGACGGCAAGTTATGAGCGTTCGGGAATTTATAAGTTCACGTGATTGCTAACTATGGACATGCGGACAATGAAGACCTGTTTTGTCGGGAGATGGAGTAGCGGTGATGAGCTGATATCGGACGACTCGTGGCAGACGAACAAGCAAGCTTCTTCTCAGCGAATTGTAAGCGTCCAGTATCAAGCACAGCACGTGGCTACCGGCGTTGTCGACTTTTCGAACACTTACCGCTTTCGACAAAAGTGCTGGCACCTGGACTAACTTTGCGGAAAGACTCTAAGTCTTCCTCGAGTCCAGCGCCATCTTAAACAGTAATTGAAAGCAATCTATTATTCAGTCGGTGGGTGGCGAAACGTATTCGCATCTGCGGAGTCATTGTCGATGCGTACTCTAAGTGGCTGGAAGTTTACACGATGCCTGCCACGACGTCCAAACGCGTCATTGACGTTCTACGCTCTGTTTTTCCTACTTTTTCCCTACCGAAAATACTTTTCTCTGATAACGTGCCAAATCTTGCTTCAAATAAAATAAACAAGTTTTTGAAAGAAAAAAAGAAGAAAACCGGCATCAGGCATCACCTAAGTGCACCATACCATCCTGCAACTAACGGGCAAGCAGAACAGATGGTGTGCGAAACGAAGAAAGCCCTCTTGAAGCTTACGGAAGAAGCAGTTCAGTGAAAAATCGCCAGGTTTTTGTTCCAGCAACACGCGACGGTCTCAACTTACACGGTAAAAACACCCGCCGAAGCAATGTTCGGCGGACGAAGAGCCACATTCCTCGATCTCATGATACTATGGCCTACGAACGAAGATCGAGAGATTCCCACATCGGGAGTAATGGCATTTTATTTGGTCGGACAACTCGTCTACCTGAGGAATTTCAGCGGAAGTCGGGCCTTCCACGTAAAACTCAAGTATAGAAAAGGCTTTTTATTGGTTGACCAGAAGGTGTCATCCCTTTGAAGACGATGGATATCAATGCCCTTCAGTGTAAATATAAAGAAATCACAAAACTCTATTTCTGTATTGTGTAACTGCCCTTGTATTTGGTAGTAGAAGCTATAGAGGTGATTTGGACCTTTCACACCAGGCTCATTTTTCTTATTTTTCGCCTCATACTCCTCTGCGGTTTCAGCAGGCTTCAAGAATCTTTTGGAACGGGGACACTTTACGTCAACGAAGCCATTTGTTCCAAGCAGTCAATCAGGGAGTGCTGCTAGAAATCCGTCTCTCATATTAACGAATAGGCCGCACTTCTGCACAGTGCAGTTTTCCTGTTCCACATACAGTTGTAAAGCAGCATCGTCATTGATTCTACCATATTTTATTGCGGGTGAAGAAAGGTCTTTGTGTACACGATACTTGAAACAAGTCTGACAGTGTACGTTGCGGCTCGACACCCACTAATGTCGTCGTCCTTATAGAGCCTCATCATTCAATCATTACCTCGTCACCTCATATTGCTCTTCATCAACAATAAGTACAATAGGCTACCGCTTTATTAGAATCCAAGAATTAAAAAAAAATGAGTCGTTCAGTCCTTCAATATGGTTATCGTTTATATAATGTTATTACGTTACATTACCTCGAGACGTTCGACGCCCATCGTCGATCTTCAAATACTTCTACCTGTATATAAATTAGACGCACAAAGGGAGGGGGGGGGGGGATCGGTGGCCGAGTGCATGGTCTATATCTGTTTCACTTTATGATGTACCGCACTAAAAGGTACAAGCGCGAGCTCCTTGCTCTAGGGCACATCTCGGCGGCACAAGCTCTCGTATGCTGAAAGCAGCTACCAACGCTATGAGCTCGCGCTTCTAGCCTTCTCTGCGGAACGACTTAAGGTGAAACGGAGTATTGCGCACGCCAGCTCGGAGCACGTGGAGCGAAAGCTCGCACTGCAGAACCTACCCCGCCCCTGCCCGTTTTGATCTGGAAGAGCCTCGTACCGGCGTGCGGTCGTGTATCACTACTGCGTGGTGCACGTTAAATACCCCAGGTTTGCGGTTCTACCGCACTGGCTAAATTGCTCATCTACAGCTGAGACACCAGACGCCCACTAAGGCAGACTAACTTCCGGCTGTATAAACATACCCACAACAATTTGCAATTAGACGCAGAATCACAAAGAACACAGCATGCCGCCTATTTTCTTTGGATCGTATTTTTTTAAACCAGCGCAAGCTCGCGCGTTCTTTCTTTTGAGACGGTAAGAACGGTTGCACATAAAACCGGCGTTTTTCCTACCCGGCCGATTCCTCCTCTCATTATGTGTAGTTGGTTATAACTTATAACTAGTGCCACTAAATAAGTACGCTTCAGAGTAACGACACTTGGCCATATTGTGTCTTAAAATCATGGTTGCCAGTTATCTGAAGCTTTATCTGAAATCACAGGAAATGTTTTTCAGCCCTCCACAAATGTTTAAACCGTTCGCGACAGAGCAAAGCAATATTACATGACCTTCCTAACACCGAATCTAATGCTGAGGAAGTCGCACTTTTGAATCATGACGATCGGCAGTTGCGTCTGCTCTGCATACGAGCCGAAATGGCGGCGCCCAAAACAATTTTGGGGAACGGAGTGCCGATACTTTAGAGCTCATTTAGTGACTCTAGGCATGAAGTGAACTCGGGTGTATTCTTTTCCTCTTCGTATTTATTGTTTATTGATTTCAATCATATCGAATAATGAACACATTATATCACGCTACGCTTGTGTAATTATTTGTCTTACATTTATTAACCTGACCCAGTACTTAAACCACCCATTTATCGATAGTAAATCTTCCAATATATTTTTTTAAATGTGAAGGTAAAAAGACACGGAGATTGATGATGATACAGACGCCAACGCCGCCCTCGGAAATTTTTTGAACATTAGAAATTAACAGTTTGTCTGCCATCCGCCAGGGAGCGCAACAAAACACCCAAACAGTTTTTAATTGTTTTTGAAATTAGCTAAGCTCTACACCTATTAAAAAACCAAAGCAGGATCATTCTGAGAATCTAATACATCGCAATGTATATGTATTCCAAACAATTAATGCTATTAGATGCCAATAAATCTGTTTGACGTTCAAAAAAGATATGCGTCAAAAACAGGAAAGTTTGAAGGGCTCCTGGAGCGTTATGACTTTGAAAATGAAAAAAAAAGCCATCGTCCACCTCTTGGGCAACCATTGTAGCTCTAAATGTTATAAAATATTTTATCATAGTTTAGTTATTTCCTCGGCGGCATTTGAAGTACCATGTCTCGTAGCACAAAAAAGTGCTACGTTTGATATAAAATATCTATACAAAAAAATTTTACACAACATCATTTTTTTTCTGCATATTACCAATTATAAGCACTACATCTGTAGTTAATTTCATTGTCCTAGCTCTTGTCATTAAAAACATATTTGTGCTGAAAAATGTCAATTTTAGGGCAATATTTGGAGGGATGAAAAAAACAAAGTAGTGCAAATACCAAAAAAGTGTATCGTTACATACTGCTCCGACATCACCTTAACAAAACTGCTATATTAGAACCATGTTATCTTTAATGGATCGTTCATAAAACATGAACTAGCGGAGCAAGTGAGGGTCCGCGCCATCATATTCGCAACGCTACAAATGCGCATGAACAGTAAACACCAACAAACACATAATATGAAATGAAAGAGGATTGCATTTCCTTTCAAATGACATTCATCCCACAAAACAGTATTTAAAAGGAGATGAGTTATTACCTGCCAAAAAGTACCTAAACTGCCACATTCAGTGGGACCGTGGCCTTAAGCCCCAGAATCTGACCCCACACCCGGTACGCCACCCAGGGACGGGAAAGTGCAGAGCATGAAACCGGACACGAGCGTCGCGGCAGCACCCCACCAAAACACTTTTTTTATATTTTATTTAGACACGAGTTTTAGTAGAAAGCCACGGCAACACCCATGAACCCGCGTGTTACATTTCGAGGGTTGAGCTTATCAATTCATTGGCGAGTCCGTTTTGTGTTTAAGCTAAGCAACCTCCGCCGCGTGTTCGGAGAATGGTGTTGTAACGTCCATTCTGCTTCTTCTGCCCCGTTACCCTCCAGGCTTAAGAATGTCAGTATGAGCTGTTCGGAGAGAGAGAGATATGGAGAAAATAAGGGCGGCCCCCGGCAGAGGAGTTCCGAGCGACCGCGGGAGGCGGTGGCAGTCACTGGCCTCGGCGCGTGGAGATCTGTCCGGTGCGGACCGAGGGGAGCTCCACGGGCTCCTTCCTGGGCGCCTCGATCAGGATCTGCTCGAGCGAGCGGCGGCTCGTCTCGGGCAGGAACATGGCGACCAGCAGGGAGCCCACCAAGCTCACCGAGCTGAAGAACCAACCCAGGCCCGAGAACTTGAAGGTGGTGTGCACGCTCTCGAAGAAGAGCGTCACCGCGAAGGCGCACGCCCAGTTGAAGGCGCACGTGACGCCCATAAGCAGGCCGTGGTCCCGGAGGGGCACCAGCTCGGCGGCCAGCAGCCAGGTGACCGGTCCCAGACCCAGCGAGAAGCCCGCCACGAAGAAGGCCATGAGCGGCACGGGCAGCCGCTCGGCCATGGTCGGGGGCGCGCCCGACGCCGACGGCGTGCCCAGCGTGTCCAGCAAGCCCATGGCCAGCATGCTGGCCGTACAGACGAGCGCCGAGGCGAGCAGCATGCGCCGCCGCCCGATCACGTCCATCAAAGAGACGGCCACGGCCGTGGCGGCCACCTGCGTGCGTGCGCCCCATGCAGCCCGGTCGTGAAAGAGCGCCTTGGACCTCGGGTCAGCGCCCAATATCCTTCGAACAAACGCCGCCACTTGGAAAAATCGAAGCCCTGTGAAGAGCCCTCTCTATAAAACATATTCACATCTCAGTAACTGGCGCAAGTCTGAGAGCGGTTCCAACGCAGTTCGTGCACAGCTCAAGATCGTCGGCGTTTTACGAGAAATCTTTATTTCGGGTTTCATCCTTGAGCTGAATGGAAACAGAAAGCACGTAGACTAGATTTCGCTGCTAAAAACACTGTTCGGACAACTTTCTGCGGCTATGCAGTTCAAAATGGGCGGACTAACGTCACTGGATACTAGGAAAGTAGCGTCATTGCCTTCCCTGGAAACGCTGGACACAAAGAGTACAGACAACCAAAACAACGCAAGGCCATTGGCTGATAGGTCTCTGTTGCCATCGGCAATCGCTATTTCGGTCCTTTCGATTTTTCGTAGAGGTCGTTGTAAACCAGTAGCGCCAAGAGCGCTATACGGGTTGCCATCGTACTGAGGGCGTTCCTCGTCAATTTAAGCGTCTTTTGGATTGAATATGCAAACAACTTATCGGTCATGCTTACCTCCACAGATTTCTTAGTGATATTGTTCTTATTGCGCAATTAAATAGGGAATTTATTATCCAATGCCATCAAGCCCCGACGCCGTATGTGGGGGCGGTGCCAAAACGTGGGCTTGTTTCGCCGGAGTGTGGATAAGAAAATCTCGGTCTATAAGAATTGTCGTAACAAAGCAACCTGTCGCCGGGAATTTTGATCGGCTTATCAAGAACGGAGAGGTCAGGGAGAAACTGCTCGCTCAGTGAACCAAAATGGCGACCATACGGGGAGCTTGGAACTACATTCCAAGGATAGTGACTTTAGGCCGCTCGGGCGCACTTTGGGTGCCGATCAAAGCTGTGCGCGCAAAATCTTCACTTCTGAATAGTCACAGAAAGTTGTCCTCGAGGAGGGTCATTGACCCCATGAGCACCCTTCTCCCCGAACGAAGGGTGCTCATGACGTAATTTTGTCCCCCATTTTGTTGTTGTGAGCTGTCTGGCATGTGCCGAAAGCGAGCATTCCAAGGATTAACATTACCCCATAAAGGCGTAGAGCACACAAGTTTATAAGTCTTACCACGCTGACATCTCCTCAACAGGTTGCGATGTAATCCTTTAAGTTAGTAAGTTCGTTTGGAAAAACAAACTAACAACGAAATGGCGGATTGACGTCATGTGAAAACAACCTATACTGCCTGACCTGCAGCACTCCGACGAGGATGGACACGTCCAACGCGGCCAGGGACAGTCCCGCGTTGGCGAAGGTCGTGGACGAGTAGAAGATGATCATGTTGATGCCCGAGAACTGCTGTAGGAACATGACGTGCAGCGCGAGCAGCACGTGCGTGCCCGGAATGCGCACGCTTGCGAACGTCGTCTCGATGGCGTGGCACTCGTCTTCCACGTCCGCTTCCGAGCTGCGCAGCAGGCGCAGCGCCTCGGTGGCTCGTTTCCGCTGGTCGTGCAGCAGCAGCCAACGCGGGGACTCGACGCAGAACTGGGACAGCGAGGCGAGCACCAGCGCCGGTATGGTGCAGCTAAGCGCCAGCCAGGCCCAGTCCAGAAAGCGGCCCACGGTGAAAGAGTACAGGATGCCCACCGTGATAGCCAGCTGGAGGCAGCCGCCCTGCGCAGGGGCCAAGGACGCGCGATCACTAGTGGAGCCACGCATCGCCGCCAGCACGTATTTAATGCAACTTTTTGAGCTTTAGATGGTGTGTCAGGAACGGGCGATATCGTTTTGGTTTTGTGCGGACTGTTTCGACGTTTCTGGAGACCTCGGCTAAACGCTGGCGCAGCAGTCGGCTCCATGCAATCGGTGCCCCTTCTTTAAGCGACGCTGCACATTCAGCACTAGGCCTTTATACTCTAGGAAGTCTGGGGCCACACTTTCGTGTCTTCTCGCCTCCAGCCTGTGTTGAGTAGGCCGCTAAGTGACGCTGCAGGGTTTATAATTGGCGTTCCGCGTTTTCAGTATATATACACCGATGAACCCCGAAAATAACCGCCCAAAATCCGGTTCTACATATATCGGGGTAAACTGAAAAAATGTCGAATTGGAGCTCCACGCTCAGTTTGGAGTGTGGAGCGAAAGCTTGCTCTGCAGAACCTCCTGGGTTCGACCCCCACTATCTGGTTGAGTCCCCAGGTTAGCGGTTGTATTGCACTGGCTAAATTTCTTACCTACAGCTAAGAGACAAGTCACCCATTGAGGCGTGCTAACAGCAAGGCTGTCTATACATACAAAAAACACATTCTTTTTTTTTTTGTAGGAGTGTGAAGCTTTGACTTCCCCCTGCTGGAGGCGAAGCATTGCAAAGATACAGTAATGCGTTAGCATTAGTACCTGCATGATAGGGAGAAGCTAACGCCGTCCATCTGCGGACAAAACAGTGGTAAGGAGCAGAGGTCGGCATTTTAGGTCGCCCTCACTCACCCTCACCCTCACAGCCACACTCACCTAAGCCCCTCACTCACCCTCACCCTCACAGCTACACTCACCTTCAGCCCCTCACCCACCCTCACCCTCACAGTCCCACTCACCTTCAGCCCTTCACTCACCCTCACTGAACCTCACGGCCCTCACGCACTCACCGCCCTCACGGCACTCACGGCCCTCACGGCCCTCACGCCCCTCACTCACTCATGGAGCTCACGCCACTCACCGCCCTCTCGTCACTCACCGCCCTCACGCAACTCACGGCCCTCACCGCCCTCACGGCCCTCACCGCCCTCACGGCCCTCACGCACTCATAGCCCTCACCGTCCTTACAACCCTCACGGCCCTCACGCACTCATAGCCCTCACGCCACTCACCGCCCTCGCGACCCTCACCGCCCTCACGGCCCTCACCGCCCTCACGGCCCTCACCTGCCTCACCGCCCTCACGGCCCACACCGCCCTCACCGCCCTCACGCCACTCACCGCCCTCACGCCACTCACGCAGTCATGGCCCTCACGCCACTCAGCCCAGCTTCAGATGGGGCAATTTCGTCCAGAAACTTTACGTCGCAACACCAGCAACACGCGCCGCCCGCGATCACACGCAGCAACCAATTGCTGCAATTTGCCATCGTCAACATAAAATTTTATTTTTCTTGCACTATTTAGACACAATTACGCGTTATAAACGTGTTTTTATGCATTTAAATCTCGTTAAGAATACTAATGCACCTTTCTGAAACAGTTTATTTCCAAAAAACGATCGATTTCAAACGAGAACCAAGTCTTTCGGTGTCATCATCACCGGCACGAGGTATCACGTGAAAATTTTGCGTCCCTGATTAGATGCAGCCGCTTCAAACGTATTCGAATTGCTCCGAGTTGCTTGCTTATTTCGAGCCGGACCCGATCTCAGCAATTCGTGTCGATCTAGGGAAAGCTAGAGAACAACCAGCCATTAACACCAAAACCGAGAAAGATGCTCGATCTGAAGGGGGCCTCACGCACTCACCGCCCTCACGGCCCTCACACCACCTCATGCACTCACCGCCCTCACGGCCCTCACGCCTCTCATGCCACTCACTGCCCTCACGCACTCATGACCCTCACACCCCTCACGCACTCACCGCCCTCACACCACTCACGCACTCATGGCCCTCACGCCACTCACCGCCCTCACGCCCCTCACGCGCTCATGGCCCTCATACCCCTTACCGCCCTCACCGCCCTCATGGCCCTCATGGCCCTCACGACCCTCACGGCCCTCACGGTTCTCACCGCCCTCACGGCCCTCATGGCCCTCACCGCCCTCACGACCTTCACTGCCCTCACGGCCCTCACTCACCCTCACACGCATGAATTTTCCTGGTTCAGAAACTCACTCACCCTCACCTCACCTGTGAAGATGAGGGTGAGTGAGGGTGAGTGAGGGCCCTCATGAGTGAGGTTTGCCGAGGTATGGTAAGGAGAGCACACCGCGTAGAGAGGAGGAGAGTAGTAAAGGACAAAGGGGAGGGGGAGGCGACGTCACGGGGTAGAAGCCAATGCGCGCGCGGCAAACCGGTGAACAGCGAAGGCAGCGTCAGGCAGCGGATGAGACAGAGGGGAGGAAGCAGCTGGCCGAAATGCGGCGCAAGAAGCGGGGCAAGCTGATGCTCGTCTGCGTGCGACAGAGGCTGGGCGAAGCGGGCTCGGCGAGCCCGCTTCACATGAAAAAAAAAATAAATAAATAAACGAAGATTCATTGGTGGATCTTTAGGGAATGCGTTAGCATGACCCTTAGGATACGCTACGCACGTCCTCCCATGGGAAAAGCTAACACTGACCCCGTAACGAAGTAAAAAAAGAGGCAGCAAAATTAAAAGATTCATTGGTGTATTTTTAGGGTATGCGTTACATGTGGGACCGGACATTTCATTGAACGCTGTTTCGTCGAACGCCATTTCGTCGAAGCCGTTTCATCGAATGCCGTTTCATCGAACGCCGTTTTATCGAACGCCGTCTTATCGAACGCCAGGGCGGCATTCCCGCTTCCTGAAGCTGGTCGGAGCTGCCCATCCCGGGTTCTGGATGTTTTTGACTTGCATCGCCGCAAAACATCAACTGACGGAAGACAAGCTGGAGGCGATGCTGAGTTCCCAAGAGGCTCCTCGAGAAATGAGAAGTTCCGCCTTTTTTATGAGAACCGGCGGAGCATGGCTGTGGGGAACTTTTTAAGAGCAATTGCTCATCATTTGAAACGGTGAATGGCTGTCGCACGAACACATGAACCCCCGAAAGTTTTCAAATAAAATTTGAAGTGACGTACTTACTTTTGACTTCATTGAGTCTTAGAACTAAAAAAAAAAAAAAACAATGTTTCGTTGTAGTTTCATAAATAACACCTCACCTTTAGCTACCGCAAGCTTCGGGCAGTAAAAAAGTATCAATAGCAAGACATGAGAGACTAGGAGGCTCACATGGAAAAAGTTGTTGCGCCTGCGCAAAACCTAAGTTGCCTTCTGGCCTCCATGAGTTGGAGTGCGACTTTTTATTCCATCGGGTAATACTGAGGGGGTGAACAGATAAGCACAATATGCGAAACAAACATATAAATCAGTACAAATATCCTCATAGGTTACTTGCATCAAGATAAATTGTAACAGCTAGCAACTTTTCCAGCAATTTTGAGGTTGCTGGCGGGTTATTCCCTAGCTTTCCCTAGATCGACACGAATTGTTGAGATCGGGTCCGGCTCGAAACGGACGAGCAACTCGAACAACTCGGAGTCGTTTCAAGCGGCAGCAGCCAATCAGGGACGCGATATTTTCACGTGACATCCTCATGTGGTGGTGGTGATGACAGCTAAAGACTTGGTTCTGGATTGAAATGAATCGTTTTTGGAAATAAACCTTTTCAGAATATTGAGTTAGTATTTTCAACGCCATTCAAAGATATACATGCCTTGCAAGTGACGTCACACTAGGGAACATCTAGGGAAGGACAGGGCCCCGCACCATACTGGTGGTTGACTTCACACCGCGCGGATGCGCTTACCAAGGCGTAGGATGACGCTAACGGCCCGGACATGCGCTAACATGCACCATATTTTCAACACAGGTACCGTGAACGTAGAAAAACGTGCTGAGGTTACGATAATGGCGTTTATCTAGTACGTGCGGAAATTTTCGGCATTGGTGCGATTGCGCTACGAGCAGAAAGTTTCGAAATGCCGCCGACGAAGTTTTGACGCGAAGGGATGCCGTGTCGCCAAAAAATGAAAAAGCTTAATTGCGGGCTTCATCATTTGACGAGCGGCTCTAGGAGTCGCTTGTAGAAAGATTGTTATGATTTTGCGAAATACTGGTAAACAACGCAATGTAACCGTCATAATCTGAACCCTGAGACAAGGATAAATCAAATAACGGACAAGAAACGCATTGTCTCGGGGTTTATATTATGATGTTTCCTAACCGGCTCGCCTGCATACTTTCGCTCCTTGCAAAGGTTATCGTATCGCGGGTAGCGGACGGTACAAACCGATGACGCGGCGGCTCGGCGAGCTTGCACATGGGGGCCGCCGCCGACCGATCGCAGTCGGGCCGGGCTCGCGGCGCGACACTCGCCCGGATTCGGCCGGGAGCCCCGAAGGTGCGCTCGAAGCGTGAAAACGGCGTTATGCAACGAAGGCCAAAGGCCATATACACCAAGAACGAGAAAACGCCGATGCAAAGGCGTGCGCGAACGTAAACAACGGTAGAAAGGTATCGTCGTTCGCCGCTATGAAATGCGTCCCGCAAACTCGATAATCCGCGGCCGCATCCCTTTCCTGCCGCTCGTACTTTATCTAACTTGACGGCTACTCTGTCTCGCGGGGCATGCCGACGAAACGATCGGACGATCATCGGGATACGGGGTAATTGCTACAGCCGAGCGCGGCGCAGTTTACCATTGCTCTCGCTGCGAAGGGCCGTCGAGTCAACCACCAGCATGGTAGACACGGGTGTTCGACGTCATCAAGTGACGTAGGTGCAAGGCATGTATAAGAACACGTCTTTAGCGCGTAGCTTGGCGTCTAAATAGTGAAAGCAAAATCAAATTGAATGATGATGATGGCAAGTCGTAGCAATTCGGTTGCTGCGTGTGAACGCGGGCGGCCCGTGTTGCTAGTGTTGCGACGTCAAGTTGCTGGGTGAAATTGCTCCTTCTGAAGCAGGCCTAAGAATCCACAGTCCACGTCCACCCCCCCCCCCCCCCCCCCAAATGGATCTTCCTTTATTTTTCTCCGGCGAAAAGGGCTCGTCGAGCCCGTTTGTGCCCCCCCCCCCCCCCTTTTCTCCTTCTGTCGCACGCCGACCAGTGTCGGCTTGCCGCATTTCGGTCAGCCGAGCTAGGCGCTGCTTTCGTTCTGTCTCGTCGCCCGCCTTGCACGCTTAGCAGCGGCATCCGCAGCCTGACGCTGCTTTCGCTGTTCACCGGTTTGCCGCACTTTTATTGGCTTCCCTCCCGTGACGTCGCTTCCCTCTCGCCCTTTGTCCTTCACTACTGTCCTCCTACGTGCTACGCGGCGTGCTTCCCTTTCCACTGTTTTGCCCGCAGACGGGCGGCGTCGGCTTTTGCCTGTCATGTATATACTAATCCTAGAGCATTAAAATAGGGGAAGCAGAAGAGGAAGCCAAAACAAAATAGTGAAAAAAGGGGTCAGCTTTAGCGTTTTCCAAGGGGGCGTGTGTGACGTTTCCCAAGAATCATGTTAAAGCAGTTTTTAGGGATCCGCCAGAGGATCTTCCTTTACTTTTTAGTTGGCTTAATATTTTACATTAAAACTACACATTTCTTCTTTTTTTTTTTTTTAAAGATGTTTTACCGTATTTACTCGAGTTATTGCCGCACAAACAAGGGCCCTGCATCTACTTTCTCGCAGAACACATATACACCCAATCATCGCGTTGCGCATAAATAACATGGCGAATAACTAGATTGAAAACACGATTCTCCATACAAGTGCAATCTTCACAGATGTTATCTTGCGCCAATACTTTATCTCTTTCCTGCAGACTCGTACGTAGTTCAACTACTCTACTCAAGTTAGTGTAGTTTAACTACTTTTCTGAGTAATTAAGTAACTTTCAATTACATTTTTATTTCCGTAATTAGTAGTTTACCTTAATTACTTTTTTGAGTAACTTCTACTCAAGTTACAAATTACTTTCGAATTTTAGTGGTTGTTTTGCCTATCAACAAACATTCCTGCACAAAAGAGATAAGATGTTGAAAGATCAGCTGATATTTGCAAAGAGGCGGAATCATGTGGCGCAGGAAAGGGGGGGGGGGGGTGGGGGGCAGAAAATAGTTTGGAAAATTTGAACCCACCCCCCCTCCCCCCCAAAAAAAAAATCACAAGCCCTCTTTTTTTTACTTCCCCCCCCCCCCCCCCCTCACACACACACACACTGCAACAACACTGCTACGAGGCGCGGGGAGCGAACAGACACAACGCAAGAGAGGCCGAGTAACTGCGGGATTTGCGTCTAAGACTGGCGTTTCTCTGTGTCCCGAAGCTCAAGGAGATTTGACATATTTAAAGAAAGGGTTCGTCTCCGCTTCTCCCCAACGTAGAAACTCTCGCTCACTACAGTGTGCACCACACACTGCACCCTCATTCAAAGGACGCAACAAAATGCAGCACCTGCTCTGAAACTCATCTGGTGCTCCCGTAGTTTGTACTGTACTCGAAGAATCGCGTGCTAAAGGGCAACGCAAAGATTACATTTTTGCGTTGCCTTTCCTCCCAAAACTCAGAATATGCAGATCTCCAAAGATTCATACATCGTTCGAGAAACCTGCAGTAATTCCCCCAATATTTTTATATAAAAAAATAATAAACAATTAGTGTTGGGAAGTACTTTATGTACATGGTACTTAAAGTACCACTGCTTAGAAAAATTACTTTACTTGAAGTAAATTTTCTGAACATGTACTTGTATTTTCCGAGGAAAGTAAAACTCCCGACTTACATATACATTCCCCGAATTCGAAAACAAAAAAATGGCGTTATCGTCGTGTGAAAACGCGCTCTTTCGAGACGTCATCTGGTAATTTCTCTGAGTGAAGTAATGGCGGTAATAGTGCCTTTAAGTTTATTGTGTCAAATAGCTTGTCAGCGAGAGAAAAACAACTACTCTGAGGCGACTTGACCTTATACAATATTTGCTCTCATTTCCGTAAAAGAACTGATGCACCTCCGATGGCCCCTGGAGCAATGCATACAAGTTAAAAAAAATCACTATATAGGGAATGAAGGGGCATCATGAAAGATTGTGTTAAAAGTGATTGTGCTTTACCTTGAAATATATTGTATTTACATAGGTTACTTCAAGTACATTGCAGCCGGTGTACTTACTACTTTGCTTGAAGTACATAACCTCTCATTCACTTTGTCGATTACTTCAAGTACTTTTTAGATGTACTTTACGCAACACTGTAAACAAGCAAACGCTGTCTAAAAGATGAAACTCAGACATTGCTAAACCCCAAAGTACAAATGACAGATTCGCAGTACATCATTGACCAAACAAACAAGAAAGTACAAAACCACCAGGCACGCAGAAGCAGAACCAGCTATTAAAGAGTTTCTGTAAAAAAAAAAAAAAAAAAAAAAAAAAAAAAAAAACATGCCGATTCATATATGGCTAGCACAATTTCGCTAACGGATCAAAACATCTGTACTTTCTTTTTACCATAAAAAACATATAAAAGTAACTTCAGAAGTAATTTCAAAAGTAATTCGCTACTTTTTACGGTAATTAGTAATTTTCTCAATTACTTTCTATTTGAGTAATTTCTACTCTACTCAAATTACTTTTGACGTCAATACTCAGTAACTTAACTTAATTACTTTTTGGGAGCAACTTGTACGTGTCTGCTTTCCTGTAAACCGCTGGAATCATGCTGTCGAAAGCGGTGATTGGTAATCCCCGTGCTCCGCGGAAAAGCGAACCTTCAGGTTTTCTTCATAAACAGTGCGGCTATTACTCTAGCACATACAGTAAGTCATTTTTCCCTAAAACTTTTGCTTTTCGGAGGCTTAAATGCAAGGGGGGGGAGGGGGGTCCTTGGAATGTCATTCATCCCCCGTTTAAATCAGCCCCGGCCGCCTGCTGCCCACAGGAAACTCCGAATTAGCAGAACTGCAGCGGGCGACAGCGTTAGCGAAAACAAGAAATAAGCGAATTTTTCTATTTTACTCATAGCACCGAAGAGCTGTCATCGAACCTCTTCGTGTGGTGAAAAGCACTCATCTGGCGCACTAACCTAAGCTGCAAAACCTCCGATGCTCGCTAATACCCTTTCGCAGTATAATTCAAAGAGCCTATCTCCTGTTCTCGCTATCACCTCTCCTGCAGTATATCCGTGACCGCACTCTGGAACCCGGCGCTCGAGGTGGCTAACCCAGGGCCTTAATAGGGGTCCTTGGAATGTCACCTAGAAGACACGAGGCCTGCGCCTTTCCTTTCCAAACGTCATGACTAGTGGCTCCATGCAGCGGCGCCCACCTTGTGGCCTGCATCATCGCCGACCGCGCGTCTTGCGCGCGTCTCCCAACGAGCGCGACGTTAGCAGACGGTGATGCCAAGATGGACGCGTCTTTAGCTTTGTGGCGTACTCGAGTCGAGCTTCGGTGTGTTTGCCGCTCAGGGTGGGTCGAAAATCCACTAAAGATGACGTAATGCGCGGACTTTGTCCTCTAGGCGTCTCTCCTGGACAGCGGGTGCGGATGCTCACCAGCGGGCCCCGGCTATCCGGCGTGGTCACCTCGGCGATGTAGGTGGGCACGCAGAGCGACACAATGCCCGTGAAGAAGCCCGTCGAGAAGCGGCCGATGTACAGCAGCAGCGTCGTCGAGGCCATAAACAGGCAGGTCCAGGCGCCCCCGAAGCCCACGGCGCACACCAGGAGCGTGTACCGACGCCCGACCACCTGGGCCAGCAGGCAGCCCGCCATGCAGCCCAGGGCGGCGCCCAGGGCGAGCATGGAGCCGAACCTGCGGCAGGGTGTTGAGGCTGCAGGTTGACATCTTTGCGTGCGACTGCGACCGACTGCGTTTTTGCAACGCCACATACCGAGCGTAGAAAATGCTGGATAAGCAGTATGTTCCGTGCTTGGTCACGGGGGGTCCCAGTATTCCCGCTTCTAATACCCTCTACCACATACACTTCATGTCATAAACGTGTGCAGTGCTGACAAAGGCATGTTCCGGGCTTGGTTATAGAAGCCCCAATACTCCCACATATACTCTTCATGTGATACAGCAAACGTACGGGCGCGAGAGCGTGACTGTCAACTGCCCTGTATATGCAAATTCTCATACAAAAAAAAAAAAATAAATAAAAAAATAAAAAAAAATCTTAAACTTAATTTTATATCCCGAAAATTAAATGAAGACAGTTGCCGTGGTGTTTTCTGACGGATCATTCACTCGCAGCGTGCGAGGACTACTCGTATAACATTGAGTTTGAAACACACGAACCACTTTGGTTGGCTCGGAGGATTTAAAGTGTCTGGATCCTGTGAAAGTAGCGCGCCATTACCTTTCCTGTCTGCTAGGGGGACACCAAAATTATACTGACACACAGACGACCCAAATCTTGCAAGGCGATTGACTGATCGGTCTCAGTTGCCATGGCAACTCGCCATTTCGCTCCTTTCAAATATTCCAAGCTTCGAAAGGGTCCTTTTAGCTGAACCAGTGGCGCCAAGATTGCTATGGAACGTTATCGCACTGAAAGCATTCCTTGCCAATGTAAACGTTAAACTTGAGGAAGAAAACGAGAAGTTATTAAACTTGAGGAAGAAAACTAGAAGGGACGGACAAACCCTGCTCGTTTTCTTCCTCAAGTTTAATTATCCATACCAACCAGCTACTTTGTTTGTGTTTGTCCGTCCCTTCTCGTTTTCTTCCTCAAGTTTAATTATCCATACCAACCCTCTCGTTCTGTCCTTAAAATGTAAACATCTTCGGCATTGAGTGCGTAATCAGCTTATCAGGCATGCTTATCCCCGCAGATCCCTCACATTGCGATTCTTCTTGAGGATTTCAAGACAGGGAAATTATTTTTTTCAATGCCGCCAGACACTGACGTCGCATGCGCATGGTGGTGCGAAGGTAACAAAAAATATTGGTACGCAAGAAATGTCTTTAGAAAGCAACCTAGGTCAACGAGAAACCGCTCGTTCCATGAACCAAGATGTCAACCATACAGGGAGCAATCTAGGCTCACTCTCGTTTGCGGACATCTTCCTCCTGCTGATCGTGAACATTCTTCGGTGGAAACTGAGCCGTATGTTGGGTGTATTCACTGGTGGTCATAGTTGATTCCGTGGCTCCTGACGGCGAGCTTCTTCGGTGATTTTGCGACGTGCATTCCGCACCATCATGACTGCTGGTTTTACTAGACTAAAAAGACTACAAGTGTGAGCTTGTTCTGAGCATGCGCTGTTAACAGTGCACTCAAATATGGCGTCCCGCTATAATGAACTGCGTTGCGTAGCTTGCTTTTTATATAAGGGTAGTTCGTCATTTTAAGGTTGAAGGAATTTATTGTTTGCATTTTTTATATTGCTTATCGTTCCACCAGTAAACGAAAATATGCATCCATCCCCCAAAATACAGCTATTCCGCTGCGGAATCGCAAGGGAAAAAATTGACCGCATCTCCACGTGGTGAATGATGTTGATTTGGGCAAAGCTCTGGTGATGCTTGTCTGCGTAGACGCTAAACCGCAGCATGCCGAGCCTTTCGTTCGTTTTCATCCATATCAGAAAGAGGATGTGTGGTATAGAACGTGGTTATGTACGCATTTGAGCATTTGAGCCAATGCATGCAATGTTTAACGCGATTATACACGCATTTGATCGCAGCGCCCTCTCCTGTATAGACGTTGAGCGGCTAGATACAACGTTTCATCCATGACATCCCCAGCTCTTGAGTTGCTACCACATCTCAGAGCCCCCTACTCATCCCGCAGTCGTAGCCGAGTGGTTAAGGCGATGGACAAGAAATCCATTGGGGTCTCCCCGCACACTTTCGAATCCTGTCGTCTGCGACTCTGCGCAAACATTTTTTTTTTCTCTAATTTTTTTAATTTTTTTGCCTTACACGAGCACGTGAGCTCACGAGCACGAGCTAGAGAACGAGCACGAGCACGAGCACGAGCACGAGCGCCAGCAAGATCGATGTGAGCACGGACGCCGGACGGACAAGGCTAGACTTCAAGGAGCTTCGCCCCTAAAAAACTAATAATTTTCCGATCTACAGCCGCGTGTGGCACAACCAACAGCACAGTCAAGGCTACGGCGTGGGCAGTGCCAACATTGACCTAAACGTCGTCACCAAAAGGTTGTTGTTACTTCTCCGGGCAAGCGTAATCGGTGACGTCAGCAACGATTCCTCTTGGCGCAACGCGCCTGCGCAGCGTGCCTGCGCAGCGTGCTCCTTGGTAGCCGTCCGGCCGCCCCAACGTGGTCCCGCCATTACCGCCGTCTCCCGCGTCACAACCGCCGTGTCGTCTCAGCGTTTGTGATTATTGTCTCTCGGTGTTTCATCCACACCACGGTGTAAGATAATACTCTTCAGGTGAGGGCAGCGCGCTCCTCGCGCAGTGCAGATAAAGTTCGGCGCCGGCAGAGGACTCGTCGACCCGTGGGCACGGCAAAGACGGCTCGTGCATGCCGCCTTATGCTCCACACGCGCAGAGCTCCAGCGATGTTGTCGCTCGTGCAGAAAGACCACTTTTTTCGCTCTCACTGAGTTTCGCCGTTTGGCCGCCGGCGACACTGTCAGCCGCGGGCATGGTGGCCGCGGAATGATGCAGCCTTTCAGATGCCCGTCAAACGAACACTATCTGATTCCTCGCGCCGCGCGTTCAGCCCCGCCGTGTCCTCACTTAAAGAGTATACCTTACACCGTGGTCCACACTACGAACACTACGTGCGCAGGCCTATGCCGCAGTTGTGCAGACGTCGGTGGGATCGGTGGCCGAGTGGGCTGAAGCGCACACCCAGCTTGACGCGCGTGGAGCGAAAGCTCGCGCTGCAGAACCCAGGGATCCTGGGTTCGAGCCCCACCCCTGCCCGTTTCGATCTGGATGAGCATCGTACCGGCGTGCGGTCGTGTATCACTACCGCGTGGTGCACGTTAAAGACCCCAGGCTAGCGGTTGTACTGCACTGGCTAAATTGCTCATCTACAGCGTGTGACTCGTCGCAACCTTAATGGCTGACCAACTACACGCTGTATAAATATCCCCACAACCCCAATTATTGTGCAGACGTCGAATGTCGTTGACACCGAATAGTGGTGAAGACTAAAGATCGCGGTACAGACGAAACTTGCGCCTGGCACTCGCCCGCCCCAATCCCGCCCGTCGTTGCATAGAGCAGTGGTTCTCAAACGGGGGTCCGCGGACCCTTTGGGGACCGCGAAGGCATACTAGGGGTCCGCGAAGCCCAGTCTCATCCGTCAAGCCCGGAAATAACAGTCGTCTTCTCTCAGTTTGAGAAGAAATTTTCCCATTTTCGGGTGCGTTTTCTCGTGTATATGTCAATAAGAGTAGTTTACTTCACACTAGCACTTAGTTATAGCTGTTTATTAAATCACTAGCATAATTGACCTGTACTTTCCCTTCCTCACACCACGAACGGGGTCTCTGTGCCAATCCACATGAAACATCAATGGCCGAGAACCACTGGCATAGAGGATCACGTGGCATCTTGTACCACGGGATAGCCATGTTCTTGCGATCCGAGGCCAATGTCGCCGGACGGATCCGAGGTTTCGGTTTCTATTTCCGCTCGTGTTTAAAATTACATTTAAAAATATATCCTGTAAACGACTAAATTTTCGCGAATCGCCTACAATTCGCGAAAAATACGTCCCGCGAACGATTCGGGCAATATGTGAACGCTACGGAAGCTACACTCGATTCGAGAAAATTAGGACCCGCGAATAATTTCAAATTTTCAGCTTTGGCCCGATTCGCGAACATTTGATCCCGCGAAAATTAAGTCATTTACAGTACCCCATTCTTCGCAAAGAAAATGACGCAGTGTCTTTTACTAGGGCTTTTTAATGCGAAATCACGAATTATCACAAAATCTTCGGAATTAAGAGGAGGTGTCCTTTAATGTTTGACTCCATGGGGCGAATATGCAGCGAAAAATCTAATTTTGCACGGCGGCTTTTGCTCTGAGCGTGGCATCAGCACAGTGTCTGCTACGTCGCGCTCAAAGCGAACGTGCCGTCGGCGCATAATGAACTTTATTCCAACAGATTTCTGCGCATATACCCTCTCTCCCGCCCTTGCTTCCCGCTGTCTCCGTTTTCACAGGGCACCGTCCCGCACAACCAGCATTGTCAGCGCCTATCTTTCCACGTATTTCGTCATTTTTGACGCTTTTCTCTTTCTTTAATTTTGGGTAACCGGTAGCGTGGGGTATAAAAAAATGAAAGCCGCTTACAACTCCCTGTAACGCCGAATTAGAGCGCAGCTCTTGAGGAGGAGGAGGGAAGGGCACTGGGGGGGGGGGTTAAACTAACCAGGGGGGGTCACGTTACCTTGGGGGTCACGTGACCCCCAATGCCGATGATGTCATCACTGACGTCACTGATGACGTCATCAGTGACGATGACGATACGGGTACCGATGACGTCATTAGTGACGTCACTGATGACTTCACCAGTGATGATGACGATGACGATGCGAATGTCGGTGACGTCATCAGTGACGTCGCTGATGACGTCATCAGTGATGATGACGATGACGATGCGGATGCCGGTGACGACATCAGTGACGTCACTGATGACGTCATCAGTGATGATGACGATGACAATGCGGATGTCGGTGACGTCATCAGTGATGATGACGATGACGATGTGGATGCCGGTGACGTCATCAGTGATGATGACGATGACGATGTGGATGCCGGTGACGTCATCAGTGATGATGACGATGACGATGTGGATGCCAGTGACCTCATCAGTGATGATGACGATGACGATGCGGATGCCGGTGACGTCATCAGTGATGATGACGATGACGATGTGGATGCCGGTGACGTCATCAGTGACGATGACGATGTGGATGCCGGTGACGTCATCAGTGATGATGACGATGACGATGCGGATGCCGGTGACGTCATCAGTGATGACGATGACGATGTGGATGCCGGTGACGTCATCAGTGATGATGACGATGACGATGTGGATGCCGGTGACGCCATCAGTGATGATGACGATGACGATGTGGATGCCGGTGACGTCATCAGTGACGATGACGTCATCGGGGGTCACGCGACATCGGCGGGGGTCACGTGACCTCGAGGAGGGGGCCACGTGACCTCAGGGGAGTCACGTGACTTCGGGGGGTCACGTGACCCCCCACGAGGTCACGTGACCTTGGTGGGGGGCTCGCGCGGTGCATTATGGGACATTTCCCATGATGCACCGCGCGGTTACGCCGACGCCGACGGCGACGGCGACGCCGACGCCGACGGCGACGCCGCTCAAGCCGGAAACGGGCCCCTAAGAGCTGCGCTCTAAAAGCAATAAAAACCGGCACAACGACACGATGGCAATGTGTTTTGACGAGCGGAGTCCTGTTGAGCTGCCCTTCATTTGTAGTTCGCGGTCATCGCCATATGGCGCTCGTTCCTCTAAAAGCCCCTTGATAAAGGCGTTTTTTACAAGTACCGCCAACCATTGTTGCGGAAACGCGCAGGACAGGTGTCGCGAGCGGGTGCTCTGTCGCCACTCGCTTCCAACGGCCGCTCATTTTAGTGCTACGCCTCCATTTGCTCCCAAGAGCCGCTCGACGGGCCTCGTTCACTGGCGCATTTCACGCAAGACAAATGCAAACAGATCGAGGAGCCTTAGAAAAAGGTCCACTCGTTCCATGGAGTTCAGCCTTTAATCCGCCTCCTAGAACTCATGCAGAATTTGTCTTGGCAAGCAACTCGCGTCTAGTTTCCTCCTTAATCACGTAAAGCGCGTGCCGCCACCGGCGCGGGAACGTGACACAGGCAACGACACCAGGCAGAAATCGTGGGACCACATTCGAGAGCGGGGGAACGCACACCAGTCGGAGATGCGCTCCAGGCGCCAATAGCACCTAGGAGGTAAGGGCTACGCATTACGTCATCGTCAATGGGTCCCCGACCCGCTCCAAGCGGCAAACACGCTAAAGCTTGACGCCACCAAGCGGCAGGCGCGTCCCTCTGTCGACTCCGACGTTGAGCGTTGAGAACGCGGCGTGGCGCAGCTCACACAGATACTGATTGATCGCAAATATCGAGTTCCTGCCGGCCAATCAAAGATCCACGTTCTGCGCTACGCTACGTTCGCTGCAATCAACGTCGGAGTATACACGTTTGCAAGTCCGGCTTCAGGGCGCTGCCATCTTGCCTGTCTGGGGTGCGCTTGGACCAGGCATAATCCGATTACGAAGCCTAGCTAAGGCGTCGTAATCGGATTATGGCCACTCCCGAGAGCGCACCCCACTGAGGAAGATGGCGGCGCCCTGAGACCGGACTTGCAAACGTGTATAACCGAGCCTTTAGCGTCGCATTCTTTGTGAGACGCTGCAAGACGCGCTGGCGGCGATGCTCACGCAACCTAGCCGATGCTGTGTGGATTTACTTGTGATGACGTTTGGGGGGGGGGGGGGGGTGGAGGGGGGCGCACAGGCCTTGTCTTCGAGGGGGCATTGTCCGCGGGCGCATGTTGGGTGATTGCCCCTGCGAAAGAAGATGGCGATCGAGCGCCGACGCACCAGAAGGTGTCGTCCGGGGAGACGTCGGCCGTTATGAGGCTCTCGCTGGCGGGCGAAGAGTAGCCCAGCGCGGTGCCCATGCACAGCGAGGCCGTCCAAGACGCCGCCAGCGTCAGGTACAGCGCCCACGAGGTAGACGCCTTCACGTCGCTCTGATCATGCGCCATGCTGAAGAAGGAAGAACGAACCACTGCGGGCACGCGCAAGCAGGACACGGAGCGCGAGATCGGCTCTGCGCGAGATCAGAGCCTGTGCGAGATTAGAGTGCCTTCATACACACGCGCGCTTTTGCTCGAGTGGTGACATCTCAGCCATTTTTCGGCCCAATCCTTTTTTTATGCATTTTGAAGCGCGCGCAATCCGGTGTTACTCAGCTCGAGCGCGTAGCTTTGGCTAAGGCATAGACGCCATTTTACCTCCCAAGTCACGCACCAAGTGCGCGAGAGCGTCAAGCGCTGCCACATTCAGGGCAACAATCGATGTCTTCACCCTCAGACAGACAGACATGTAGGCACCCCCTATGCGAGATTAGAGTGCCTTCATACACACGCGCGCTTTTCCTGGAGTGGTGACATCTCAGCCATTTTCACGCCCAATCGTTTTTTTATGCATTTTGAAGCGCGCGCAATCCGGTGTCACTCAGCTCGAGCGCGTAGCTTTGGCTAATTCATAGACGCCATTTTACTTGCCAAGTCACGCACCAAGTGCGCGAGAGCGTCAAGCGCTGCCATATTCAGGGAAACAATCGATGTCTTCACCCTCAGACAGACAGTCATGTAGGCACCCCCTATGCGAGATCTTCTTCCGACGCCCCCTATTGGCAACGTGAGCGATCGAAAGCGTCGCTGTGGTCGGCCTGCCACGATTGGCCGAATGCTGACAATGACGTCAGCAAAGGATTTCTCTTCGACGGAAATAAGAGGAATGTGAGAACTTCAATTTTGACGGTGTTGGCAGTGTTGCTTTGAGAGCGGTATGATTTCAGGCTTGCACCATGCCCATTACAAACACCATCGAACTTGTTGTTCACAAGGTAATGACGTCACGAAAGGTAACCACACGAGGGTGCCACCGAAATATCATGCTGTCATCCCGATTAAAGTAGAGCCCAGCTACACTGAGCTAGACAAGTAGTGGAAAAAGCCGCAGTGCTCCATCGGCCGCGTGAAGCCAAAAGTGTAGAAAGCCGCGCCTGGCGCTGGTGTCGCAATCCCGAGGGGGGGGGGGGGGGGCACGGGACCCCCTATCTCCTCCCCCCCCCCCCCCCCCCTTCCCCTGGTCGGCGCCTACGCCGCCGTGGAGACGCGCAAGACACGTGCCACGAGCGGGTGCATTCGCCGCTTCCAAGGGCCACTGATTTCAGTGCGGCGCTACTCGCGATAGTCTCTCGTAGGGTGCCTCAATGTCCTTCTGCTTAGGGTGATGCCATCATTTGTAGTACCCAATGCCGACAGCACGCGCTCACGGGTAAAATACAAATAAATCGACAAAAACGAAATGTTGCCATAGCACAGTCAGCGCCACAAACGCGTGCCGGGACACGCTCTTTCACGCGCTTCTGAACAAAAAAGATAATAATAAAAGCGTGGTACAAAATGGCCACATGTCTCCACCCTAAGCAAAGCGCACATGAAGGCACCCTAGTCTCTCGTCGTTCCATGTGCCCTGCAAAATAATAAACATCAGAAGTTTTTTTTTTCTTTTTTCTGGCATCTATGCGGTTTTTTTAAATGCGCATTTTCTTTCTTCAGCCTTCACCGGGAAGGTTTGATCCATAATACAAAGCGCATGCGCGGGATAGCGATAAGTGGATAAATTTAGGAGAAAGAACAAAATTCCCAACGTCCCTTAAAGCGGATTGAGCCCAGGATCCCCATATTTTTAGCACGACGCTCAACCAGTGTGCCGAAGAGGATACTCGTGAAGTGATATTTACATTCTGTAAATCTCCCCTCCTTATCGCGCGCATGCGCAGGTGTGGATGTACCACAGCCTTGAGAATGATTCGCAAGAGGAAGGTGCAGACAAAAGAGCAGACAGCTGAGCAGAAGCGGTGACGTGCCGAGTATGACCATCTTTATTGAATTCAAATATGTTGATACGTGATGCTTAGCTTCCCGCCATATGGTTCGTAGCAATTTAATCGGCGAAATATATCCTTCATAGAAAACAAGCAAGGGCATATCGGATTTCGACGTATACTTGTCACCGCTAAAATACGTGTTTTCAGCCAATCAGTCAAGCAGAAAAAACGCAGGCCAGTTTTCAGTCTAGGGAACATTGGGAATAAATTTTAGTATTCGTATTCAATTCGACATTCGATTTTTTGGCTACTATTCGACACTATTTGATCCAATTCGAGTCGAGTTGCAATTTTACTATTCGCACACCACTAATGAACTAACGAATAACCCACAAATGAAGGATAGTGTGCCTTCATACAAACACGGGAGACAGACATGTAGGCACCCTAATGAAGGATAGAGTGCCTTCATACACACAGGCGCTTTTACTTGAGTGGCGACATTGCAGCTATTTTCCCGCCCAATCGTTTCACTCTCAAAAAAGGGGGTGTAGACGTTACACCCCTTGTCACATATACGACACCCCAAAACTTCAGTTTCACGTACAGCGTGCAGATGTCGAACTGACTGTCTCAACTTTTGCGAGAGGGTTGATGACGGTGCAATATGACACATTAAACAGCTAAAGTACGTATCAAAATCTACAGGAAAACAACACACAGGTTTTGCAGTTGAGCCTCGAAAACCCCGATGACTTTTTTTGCTGTCAGTCACACTTACACTAAATATTTTAATGAGTTGTACTACTCGGCTATGAAGCCGCTCGTGAAATTTGGTAGCGTCGGTACAACGTCAGTGCGCTGTACATCCAACTGAAGTTTTGGGGTGTCGTATATGTGACAAGGGGTGTAACGCCTACACCCCCTTTTTTTAGAGTGTTGTTTATGTATATCGAAGTGGGGGATCGGTAATATAGCCCCGAGAAGTTCGCGTGGCGCCCCCTTACGGCAAACCGGGGTGACGTCACGGCGAGGAGAGAATTTTTTCCCGACTCGCCCCGCTCGCCCTGTGGAGGCTGTGACGACGCTAGCTGTCGGCGCGCTCGTTTCTATTCAGACTTTTTTTGGCGTTTTTTTCGCAGGAAGTGTACATTTTTATATGTGCCTTTATTGAGGTATGGCCTGTAGCTACAGGCGAAACTTCAAGCAACATTTTAAGCATGGTTGACAGGGCAGGCAACGCATGAATCGCAGCTGGTATATGAAAATAAAAAAAATATGGTTACAATTGCAGGAGCATCACTATAGATTTTCATCTCGCACAATAAATGCTGCTGATGGTCTGAAATGAATTGGCAGGTTATGTATACTATTTTTTTTTTCTGTATCTCTGTTTTTAAACAAGATCGCCGAAACAGAAAAGCTGCATGCTGCTCGAGCAACATGCTCATTACAGTCTGGGCCATGGGGAGAGAATCATAAGTAAGACAACCCAAGTGCAGAAGCAAAGTAAAAAAAAAAAAAGAGAAAGACAAGGAACATTTATTATATACATTGCTCGCATTTGACCTTTGCTGGATTCGGATAGTATTTCAATGGACTACACGGGCGGTATCTGTAGACTTGTTTACATCATCCCTCAAGTAATGTATAACAAACGTAAGCGAAGGTGTCTAGCTCGTTATTAGTCCCATAAGCCCTAAAATTGAGATTTTTCTTAAATCGAATTGTCCTAAAGCTAAAATACCAGAAGCTTTTCTCACGCAGACTGTCGCCCTTCACAGGTTCCACATTTTCTGCTACTAGTGCTGCATCTACCACTGGACAGACGCTCAAATGCTTGCTTTTACTTCTGTTTTCCTCCGTTGTCAGAGTGTCCAGTTGTTGGGAGTTTGGAGGCTGAGGAAGCTTTTGGAGACCTGCAGCAGTGTCTCTTTTAATTGGAAATGACAATTCAGAATAAACGGTGTATTTTTCGAATACCCAAGACTAAAATAAAAATGTCAGGGAAAAGTATAAACATTCCAAATTACGGCACTATTTCTGTGCATATTTTGGGCAGTTTAATACGTATCATACAGGCAACTGGGGGCACTTCGGCCGTTTTTGCTGCTACAAACTATATTCCAGTAATTATGGATCTTCTAAGAAATATGTCAGCATACGTGTATAAACTATATAATTATTCACGAAGAAGCTACATTTATGTAAAACAATCCTGTTCCACGAGCTCTTCAAAGATAATCAGACACAGGGGCTTTAAAACATTTGCGAACCAGCGCATGCAGAGTGGCAGCGCAAAGTCTGGGTCGCGAGCTAATTTGCCGACCACCCAAAGGTCCATGATATAAATGCCACTTCAAATGCCTAGAAAGCGGGATGCAATATCGTCCTAAATCATGAACATGCAAGGAACAGAATTCCAGCGTCTGAAACACTTGCGCCACCGCTTCACCGGATCCCTCGCAAAATTGCCTTGTGTCGTGTGGACGGACGGGGAGGTTCATCGGCGGAATTGCCTCCGCCGATAGCTTTCAAGATTTGCAACCCAATTTTAAAGATAAAAGGAACAAGCAGGCTTATAAAATGTACGGAAGCACGTCAATATCGGACTAACTCAACGTCTTGCACACCGGGTAAACGAAGTCCAGCTTTTCGAAGAGCTTGCCAAACCAGGAAACCGGGTGCTAGGAAACGAGCCGATGCGAGATAGCGGAGCGGAGTCCTCCCCCTGACGTCACGGTACACCTCACCCAATGAGGCCGCGGTGACCGCAGCGACGCTTGTGTTCGCTCTCGGGGCTAATAGTGGGCCAACCTAAGTTTGCATTTACACTGGCGTTCGAATCGCAACCACGAAACAGATCCGCTCGTTTTCATCATCAACTGCGCGTGAATTTGTATCGCTTCTTTAAGCAACCGCGTTCGCAACAACTTTGCAGATGCGGTTGAGCCGTCAGTGTGAATGCGGCGTAAAGATCCTCGATGTGTCTGCGTTTGTCTTGCAAGTAGCGTCAAATGCGCCAGTGCACAAGGCCCGTGCTTGAGCGGCCATTGGAAGCAAATGGCGGCGCAGCACTGAAATGAGCGACCCTTGGATACGAATGGAGGCGGAGCACCCCTCGTGGCACGTGTATTGCGCGTT